GCGGTTCATTGAGTCCAGAGCCAAAGCAGCCGCAAGGAAACTTGATGTCCTTGCAAGGGTGCGGCGGTACTTCATGCCGGGGCAGCTTCTTACCATATATAAAGCGCAAGTCCGGTCGTGCATGGAGTACTGCTGTCACATATGGGCTGGTGCTGCAAAATGCCACCTGGAAGCATTGTACTCAGTGGAGAGACTACTTGAGGCTCATTGGTGACCTTGACTTGCTTGAAACCAATCTTGTCAGCCTCGAGCACAGGCACAGAGTAGCCAGTCTCTCGGTATGCAAGGATGCATTTCGGTTAGTGTATGCAGGAATTACACGCTTTAATTCCTCCCTCTCCTTTCCACCATCGGACAACCAGGCGGTCGGCAGGTCTTCATCCCTTTGTTGTCGATATTCCACGCATTAGAACCAAACGGTTTGCTTCGTCTTTTGTAATGAGTACAGTAAGGGAGTGGAATAATTTTGCCGGCCTCAATCTTTCCGTCCGAATACAATCTGGGTGTCTTCAAGGTATGAGTGAATAGGCTTTTGTTACGATAAGACAGTGCGATTTACCATCTAAGGCTGCATCACCACTTCCCACCAGGTGGGATTGTGGTCAAGCACTGGCTTATAATAAGTAAAAAAAATATTATTTTATGTATGTATAAATATAGTATCTTTATATTTATAATCCATTTTAATAAACAATGTAAAAGTCATATAGAAAGTGATAATATTAATACTAGATAATCCACTGAAAATACGGGTGTTGGGATGTAAAAGACGTCTGAAAAGCTTATCTACTTGAATTGGGATCGAGTCGTCGAGGCCGAAGTGATTATTTCAAATTTCAGTTTAATACCTTTTTATGAAATATATTTTACAATTGCGGGCATTTATATTTCATTAAGATTCGAAACCAAAAGTGGTATCTGGTATTATATCTTTTACTTTGTTGTCTTTTCAGCATTTTTCTAAGAATTTCTATGCTACACATTCTGTTTAGACTAGACTAGTTTACTTTAGCTATTTTGAGAGCATAATGTCGTATGATATTTTGCTGGTACACGCAGCTGACACTGAAATCATATTTGTTTTACAGAAGAGAGCCATAAGAGCAATTTATGATTTAAAGCCTAAAGAGTCGCTGCGATAAAAATTTAAGGAAATTAATATATTTCTTCGGCCTCCCAATACATTTATGAAAATGTAATGTGCGTACACAAAAATAAAAGTACTTTTACAAAAATAAGCGATATTCATTCTGTAAATACTAGGAACAGACACAAGCTAGTAGTACCAGTTACTCGACTTCATCGAGTCAGTAGTTCATTCTTGGGGCGATGTATATGCTTCTACAACAAAATTCCAGAAAATATACAAAATTTGATCTGCTCAAAGATCAAAAACTTTATTAAACTAAGTTTGTATAAAAAGGGTTATTATAATATTAAAGAATTTATGAATGATAATAACCCCTAGGAATGAGGTGATCGCTAAAAAGCTATTTCTAATTTGTTTTGTGTGGTTAATTATGTAACATACATGATTGTAAGCTGTAATTAAAAAAAAATAGTCCCGCTGGGTTTCAATTCTTATGGTTGTGCAGACGGTTCAATTCGTTAATGGTCACTTATCAGAAATACCGGCGCATGTTTATAAATCTAAGAAGATACAATTTGATTTATATCTTTAAGGATACAATTTTCATGTCTCGTGATTCAATGAATAAAGAGTACCCTGTAAACATTTTTTATAAAGGTTGGATTCCATTTTAATTGCTACATAATACCACAGTCTAATAGAGTAGTAGACTCTTAGACTGTGATATTACCTAGTACTTTTCTTAGTGTTTCCAAGTAAGCGTTACAAATTAGTCGTTTTTGTCGTACGTAGTAGTAACGTAGGTACTAGTTTCCTATAAAACGCTTTTATTATGCACTTCAAACAAGACATAATGAATCGTTATGCAAAACGAAACTCTTCTTTGAAATTGCAACTGAAAATTATTTTCTACCGACTTCAAAAAGGAGTAGGTACTCAACACGGCTGTATTTTTTATGTGTGTTAGCTCATAATTATTTTTTTATTTGGAGGCTGGTGCTTTTCATGTGATCTCAAATAAATTTGATCAAGGTTTGACCAAAAGTTTTTGAGTTATTCTTAATCATTTATATTCAAGTCGGTTATACACAATTTTAAATTATGTGTTAAAAGAATAATGCCACATAGTGTGATAATTATGCAAAATCAGATTCTTTTAACTATTATAAACCAGTGCTTGCAACGAATATTGCAAAGCACGCTATGCTATTACTAATATCAAATCCCATCAACGACGGTTAAATAATTGAAGTATGATGTCTCAAGAGTGCAGTAACAAATTCTGCTGCAGCGGTGCGCGTGTTCGATTTCTGAACGGGACAAATATTTTTGAGGCCTACAAATAAAGTTTCGCAACTTAATGTTCGTTTATGTGAAAATTTCAGTATAATTTTTTTAAGAGGAAAAAATGAGAGAGAAGTAAAAAAATAATCTAAAACAAATATTACTTTTGCTTATAAAACCGTTTGTCTAGTATAACAATAAATATTTTGATAGTGTGTTTTAATGTTAGAAAACAATAAAATTAAACGAACTTGTGAAAGAAAAGGAAGCCACGAGAAAGAAATAATAACCGGCCAAGTGAGAGTCGGATTAGCGCATGTTTTACGTACCATCGTAGTACAAGTTTCTATTAGAGGAGCCCACTTTGATTTTTAATTTATTTTTATTTTTATTATTTGTATAAAGGCAACAGAAATACACATTCTGTGAAAATTTCAACTATCTACCTATTACGGATTATGAGATACAGCCCGCTGACAGACAGACGGACGGACAGCGGGGGCTTAGTAATAGGCTCCCGTTGGTTACTCTTCAGGTACGGAACCCTAAAAAAGAGAAGGAAGGAAGTAGTGAGATAAGTATGATTAAAATAATAAAATATTCAAAAGCATAAAAACAGGTAAGGCGGATGGTTATGAAAGAGATATCATTACAAATTCTGAGGGCTGGTAAGAGAGTTATGGCAAGCCTGCTCAACACTTTCTTTAATTTATGCTGGGTACTTTTAAGCGACTGGAAACTGGTACAAAACCGTTATATTCCTACTGTAAAGGCGAAAAGGATTACAGCAGAATAGTCGCAAAACTGATGACATGACGAAATTGATGGCTGTGAAAGAGTTGCTTGTGTGTGAATATGTTTTTGTGGTGTCATAAAAGAAAATTGTGTTTTAAAAGACGGTACTGTGATTTCTAATTCTATTTCCTAATCCTATTAAGAAATAAATTCGGCGTTTTTTACATGTAGAAAGAAATTTGAATGGATCCTAAAGCCTGCTCACATTGCAGAGTTATGGGCCCAGGATGGACAGCAGAACTTTGTAAAATAATTAAAGGTAACAAAATTTTAAGTAAATCAGAATAAGAGATCTAAACGACAAGTTCAAATTGTCGCCATTGTTTAGAAGTGACTTTGAATACGAAATTTGATTCTGGGACATTGCATCGTTGGGCCAGCTGTCACAAGCGAGGGCTGAGTATGGAATCTTAGATTTGAACCCCAAATCGGGCAGTATTATTGGATTTTTCCATCATGAATTCCTTGATAGCAGCCTTGATCCATGGACGACTATTCAGGCCATATCTTTGGTGCGATACCGCAAGGGTTAGACTTGAAGACACAAAAAGGCTTTCGTATACAGTAGGCCAATATCTGACTTCAGTGCTTGATTTGATGTTTAAAACATAATGTTACGAGCTTGGGGTTCGAGACAATTAAAAACTGCCGATTGAATTACCAAAATTGACACTTTAATTACACAACACTAATTACAATCCAAAATCACACTAATAATAAAACACAGTTCGCCGTTATTTCGCTTCGAAGTATTCTCTTGTATCGCCAATTCAATACTGTCTCGGTCGTGGTCTATACCGGCCTTATATAGGGCCTCAGATAGTTTCCAGAATCTTCTACTGTAGCGACATCTAGAATGTTTGAGTACATATCGGTCCCGAAATTTCTGGAAGGATCTTGACTCTCCTAGTTCTGCTACTCGACACTAGAGGGCGCTAGTGTAACTAGTGTTGCCATGTACAAGACATTAATAGTGGCGCGCAATACTTTCATTTACTCGACACTAGAGGGCACTAGTGTAACTAGTGTTGCCATGTACAAGACATTAATAGTGGCGCGCAACACTGCCCCCTCCTAAGACATGCTCGTCCCGAGCATTATTGGCCCCATAATAACGCGCCAGTCGATCCACATGGACAATCTTAGGAGGGGGCAGTTACTTACCTCTGGCACCTTTCTGTATCCGGTAGGTTACATCATTGATCCTTGTCACAATCCGGTACGGTCCGTCCCATTTAGCTTGAAGCTTAGGAGATTTCCCTTTGCTGCGAACTGGATTGTGTAACCACAGTAGTGAACCTTCATCAAACCCCTTGTTGTTCATTTTGCGGTCATACCGTGTTTTCATCTTCTCAGACGTTTGCTGGCCCGTCTGTCTGACGTGCTCATAAATGTCATTCATTTTGTTCCGCAAGTCATTTGCATAATCGGTTATACTGCGTGGGGTATCAGGTGGTATTCCGGTGATCAGGTCTGCAGGCAGCCGTAATTCTCTCCCAAAGTTTGCGAAAGCTGGCATCACTGACGTACTTTCGTGAACAGCGCTTCGATATGACAACAAAAACGGTTGTATGTGCCTGTCCCAGTCTCGTTGCCGTTTTTCCACAACTTTTGCTAGGTACCTTTCCAATGTCTGATTAAATCGATCTACCATTCCATCAGATTGTGGGTGGTAAGAAGTTGTTCGTGTTTTATGAGTACCCATAACTCTGCAAGTTTCCTGGAATATTTGAGACTCGAAATTCCTTCCTTGATCGCTGTGAATCTCTAAAGGTACACCAAAACGACAGAAGACTTCATGAACTAGTTAATCTGCAACTGTTGAAGCTTCTTAATTTGGAATAGCAAAGACTTCTGGCCACTTAGTGAAGTAATCCATCACAACCATGAAATACTTGTTACCACTTTCAGTTTCTGGAAACGGCCCCGCAACGTCAATGGCTATCCTCTCCCATGGTGCACCAACATTGTACAATTTTAATGCGCCTCTACTACGAATTTGAGGTCCCTTTACAGCCGCACAACTTGTACATTTGCGGCACCAGTCCTCGACATCGTCACGACAGTGGACCCAGTAAAACCGTTCTCGGATCTTCAGTAGAGTTCGTTTAACTCCCAGGTGGCCTCCTGAACAACCACTATGGTACAGCTGTAGAACATCCGGTACTATAGCCTTAGGGACGAACATTTGCAAATGACACCTGTCTCCCCGACCATTTTCCCATTTACGGCACAGGACTCCATCCTGAATCAGCAAGCTGTCCCATTGGGCCCAATTACTTTTCGTGGTCGAACTCATTGCTGAGACGTCGCTCCACTTGGGCTTAGGAGCACTGGCCTTCATCCATTCCAGAATCGGCTTAATATCCGAATCTTCCTGCTGTGCATGTTGTAGGCTGTCCTTCCACTCATTGCTGAGCTGGTCTGTCCTGAGCATCCTCACAGATACCACTTCCTTACCCTCTTGCCTAGTACAATGCTTGCAATCTTCAGGGCAAGGTTTTCTTGACAATGCATCTGCATTGCCATGAGATTTCCCGCTGCGATGTTCGATCACAAAGTCGTATTCCTGCAGTAGTTCAATCCATCTCGCAACTTGTTCTTCCGGATTTTTGAACTGCAATAGCCATTTCAGTGCAGCATGGTCAGTTCGTAAGTGGAATTTCCGCCCTAGAAGATATTTGCTAAAATGCTGCAAGGACTTTACCACAGCAAGCAATTCGCGTCTTGTGACACAGTAGTTCCTTTCCGGCTTTGACAATGACTTGCTGAAGTACGCTATCACAATCTCTTGGTCACCATTCCGTTGAGACAACACACCGCCAAGTCCTATATCACTTGCGTCTGTATCAACTATGAATTCCTTGCCCGCATCAGGGTACCCCAAAATAGGTGTTTTGCACAGACGGTTCTTGAGCTCCTGGAATGCAATATCGCAACTTTCATCCCAGCAGAAATGTCGCTTCTCCTCGGTTAGCTTGTGCAGAGGTTTGGCTATATCTGCAAAGTTCTTCACAAATTGCCGATAATAAGAACATAAACCCAAAAATGCTCTAACCTGTGTCTTATCTTTTGGAACCGGCCACTCCTTGACAGCGGCAATTTTTTCTGGATCCGTGCGGATACCTTCTTCCGACACTACATACCCCAAAAAACCAACTTGCCGTTTGAATAGTGAAGTGCTTTCTTTGGACTCAACTTGAGGTTGGCACTCTGGACCTTCATGAGCACGCGTTCCAGGTTTTGAAGGTGTTCCTCAAACGTACGGCCTACGATGATGATGTCATCCAAATAGACCAGACAGGCATCTCCAATTAGCCCGGTAAGTACAAGCTCCATCAATCTTTCAAACGTTGCTGGAGCATTGCACAATCCAAACGGCATGACTTTAAATTGCCACAGACCCTTTACTGTGGAGAATGCAGTTTTCTCCTTGTCCTTAGGGTCAATTTCAACCTGCCAGTAGCCACTTTTCAGGTCCAGCGTACTAAACCACTTTACGCCTGTGAGCATGTCCAGCGTGTCATCAATTCTAGGCAAGGGATAGCTGTCCTTCTTCGTAACGTCGTTCAGGCGGCGGTAGTCAACACAAAACCGCATGCTGCCGTCCTTCTTCTTTACCAGCACCACAGGTGAACACCATGGACTAGATGAAGGTTCAATAACACCATCCTTCACCATTCCCTCAATCATGGTTTCCACTTCCTTTTCACGTGCTACAGGCAATCTTCTTGGCCGCTGACGAATAGGCAATTCTTGTCCTGTGTTTATTTTGTGTTGAACTAAGCCAGTCTTTCCTATGTCAGCTTCGTTTGACGAGAAAACATTGGCGTACTTGAGTAACAACTTCTTCGCCTTGACCATTTCATTCGGGGAGAGAACGCTGCGACAGTCTTCTAAAAGTGTGGTCACTCTCGTTTGTCCATCCTTGCTAGGGGTCCCGGTCGATAGATATTCGCGCCGACGCAACCAATCCACTTCCTCACTAGTACCAACCAATGTGCCTTTTTCTATAATCTGTTCCTGATCACAAAGGTTCAACACACGTACTCCTGAGATGTCGGTGGTTCTGACCAAGGTTCGAGCCACTTTCCATGGAAGGTCATTGTCTACCCTTTCCACGAGTACACAACGATGAGCTTGCCCAGGACTCCGAGGAAGATTAACCGGCACAATCGTTTCCGATCTCGGCGGAAGAAAAATCTTCTTAAGGCTGTACACATTCCCTGGTAACGCCCCTTCCATGAAAAGTTCCTCTTGTCCACATTTCAAAACACCTTGCTTAACGTCGATCTCACAACAATTCTTCCTCATAAAGTCTAGGCCCAGGATGCAGTCGTCCATTATATCAGCCACGATGACATTATGCAGGTAGATCATGTTGCCTAGCTTCAACTCCATCTCCTTCTCTCCACGGACGGGTATGCGCTGACCAGTGGCTGTCACCAAATTAATGCGTTCTCGGTTGTATGCGGAGTCCCCAAGGAACCGACTTATAAGTTGGGAACTGACAACCGTGCGAGAGGCTCCAGTGTCTATGGTCAGTTTACACGGCGTTCCGTTGACTTCGCCCTTGATGATTAGGCTGTTCCCATCATGGGTTTGTGAGATCGAAATCCTTGGGGCTCTTTTAACATCAGCCATCACCCGCCCCGCAGTCCTGGCTTTTACTGGTTTCCCTGCTGCTGCTGGGCGGTGCTATTAGCCGCACTACCCTCTCGAGATCGACCACCTTCCCTTTCTACAGTTCGCTTAGGGCAGCTGGATCGAAGATGGCCCCTTTCTCCACAGCCGTAGCACCTAGGGCTGTAGCTTTTATTGCGGTCCTGAACTGTAGCTGCTGCAACCTCCCTGACGCGGTGGGAACGATGATCCTGCCGCACGGCTTCCACCTCCAGTGCATGGGTCAAGGCGTCCTTAAGCGTCTCGTGGTGCCCGAGCCTCACAGCAGCTCTGACTTCAAGGTCGCGGATGCCGTCGATGAATGTCTGAACCAGGTTCCCTACAATAAGCGCAGGTACAGACTGGTACGCTTTTCGAACCAGCTTCTCCACCTCAAGGGCCCACTGCTGCAGGTTTTCGTTACTGCGTTGCACGCGATCTTTGAGCTGCGCACGAAAGACGTGTTCCAGGTGAGCGTCGCCATATCTCACCTCCAATGCCTCAAGGAGCTGCTCGTAAGTCACTTCCTTACCGAGAGCTTCCAGAACAGTTAATGCCTGGTCGCGCAGGCCTAGGGTGAGAGCAGTCATGGCCTGACTTTTATTCCAGCCGTTCGCTTTCATGACAGCCTCGAACTGGATTTTATAAGCCGACCAGGAAGAAGTCCCGTCGAACGGTGGCACTTTGAATCCACGAAGCGAAGGTGTTGTAGCTACCACGGGAGCTGTAACTCCATCCCCAATTTTGAGGTCGTTCAGCGTTTTCTTCACGTCAGCCATCACATTGTCAACCCGATTGTACACTTGGTCGATTCGGGTTTCAGCTTCCGACAGGCGGTTGTCATATTGAGCAACCTTATCCTTCACCTCACTTATTTCTTTCCCGAAGGTAGCGTGAAGGTCCTTCATGAGAAGTATCTGCTCTTCCTTATCGCGTTTGAGCTGCTCTTCCAACCGACGGCCCTGTTCCTCCTGTTGGCGGGCTTGTTCCTCCTGTCCGCGCTGCAGCTGCTCTTCCAACCGACAAGCCTGTTCCTCCTGTCGGCGGGCCTGTTCCTCCTGTTGGCGGGCCTGTTTCTCCTGTCGGCGAGCTTGTTCCTGCAGCATCATCATCAGAGTACCTAAGTCAGGTGCTGCAGATGCAGGAGCTGCTGACGGGCCGGCCTGCGTGGTCGGCAACTGGCCTGCCGACGTCTGTGACGTTGCACCACCAAATCGTTTCTGGTCCGTCTCCTGTTGGCGTTGACTTCGGGTACGGATACCCTCGGTGTCGTCTTTAGGTAAAATCGGCATATTTGATCCCACTTCTGACACCAATTGTTACGAGCTTGGGGTTCGAGACAATTAAAAACTGCCGATTGAATTACCAAAATTGACACTTTAATTACACAACACTAATTACAATCTAAAATCACACTAATAATAAAACACAGTTCGCCGTTATTTCGCTTCGAAGTATTCTCTTGTATCGCCAATTCAATACTGCCTCGGTCGTGGTCTATACCGGCCTTATATAGGGCCTCAGATAGTTTCCAGAATCTTCTACTGTAGCGACATCTAGAATGTTTGAGTACATATCGGTCCCGAAATTTCTGGAAGGATCTTGACTCTCCTAGTTCCGCTACTCGACACTAGAGGGCGCTAGTGTAACTAGTGTTGCCATGTACAAGACATTAATAGTGGCGCGCAATACTTTCATTTACTCGACACTAGAGGGCACTAGTGTAACTAGTGTTGCCATGTACAAGACATTAATAGTGGCGCGCAACAATAACAAGTTCTCAAAAATGATGAAAAACTACTAAAATATCATAAATAGCGAGCTGAGTCTGTACAATAAAGCCAAAGTTGTCGTGGATAGCAAGCAATGTTTCCCTAAAACAAAGTCAAAGACGTCGTGGACAAGCACTGTATTCGTAAAACAAAGCCAAAATTGTCTTTCATGGTAAGCACTGACTGAGTTCATAAAACATATCCGTAGTCAGCAGTTAAGATCAAGTTTGTAATCGAGTCAGGAATAGGAAATCCAAGTCGGTGCTTCAGAAACCGGAAGCGGAATTAAAACACATTAACATCCAAGTTAAGTGACAAACAATTGTCATTTTTATGACAAGCAAACAAGTGTTGCCACTGAAGATCAGCAGAAAATATAAAATACGAAATCAATTTATCATTTATATAAACTCTCACGCCTAATACCCAGAGGGTGGGCAGGACTACGGATTTCCATTTGGTACGATCCTCACACATCTCTCGCTTATTTTACATCCATATATCTACACATACGTGCTCTAAACAATACTTGCTTTTTGATACATTCGTATCGATAGGAAAATCATAATCATATCTAAAATGTAATTAAAATGCTGGCAATATTTTGTCAAATAATTTTACCTCTATTTTTAGATAAAAAGCTTTTATTTTACGATAAATAATTTACAACAGTGGCGCCTGTTTGAATGTATCTCATATTTTTATTTTTATTTTTATTACTTTCAAAGTTAATTCAAAGTAAATTTACTGTAGATTTCTTGTACTGTAATGTCCACGGTGGGTCCAGAATAGGCCCCCCTACATATTCAATCACCTTTATGCTGCAGAAGTGACTCCCTAGAAAAAAGTACATTCTCCAAATTATTGTTCAAATTAATTGATATGCATAGTTAAATGGATTTAAAAGAAGCGAGAAAGTTGTGTCAGGATCATGCAAAATGGAAGTGCGTATTTTCTGCCTGCCTCATTGGGTGACAGACAGGTGACAGTGATAGTTTAAATATTGTATGCATATAATAAAAATATTTTTAACGACTCGCCTAACAACTGTTATCTACCATATTTTATTCCACACAGATAAATATAATTGAAGTGTTTGTTTGTAATGTCAATAAACAGATTTTTAATAAATGTAAAATGTGTTAATAACAAATACACAATTTTAAACATTTTTGTTCATTTGTGTTTCTGTCTGTCTGTCCGTCTGACTGTCTGTTTGTTCTGACTAATTTCCAAAATAGCTGGACCGATTTGGACGGGACATTGACTGGCAGATAGCTGATGTTATAAGGAGTAACTTTGGCTATTTTTATGTAAGAAAAAGAATTAATATTCGGCGCAAAAAACTTAAAAACCTAAAATACACGCGGGCGAAGTCGCAGAGGACAGTTAGCTTAAAAATAATTTCGAAATATCAAAATAAAATTTTACGACGAAGTAGTCATAAGCACCGCGGTTTTGTAATCCGAGTCCAAATTATACTGTAACGACCTGAATGTTTTATGTTCGAGAAAGTTTTAGCACGTTATAAGAAACATTTATTTTGTTTTTTGAATAATAAAGTAATCTTTTTTTTCAAACCTTACATTATTCGTAATCTTTTTTTTCATATTGTTCATTATGAAAATTGATTTAAGCCAAGGATTGTTTTCTTCGTGAAAAAGAAGTTTTTTCTATAGAATTGTATGTTGTCATCTATTTTATTTTATTTATTTATTAAGGTTTACCAATGTTTATTTACACTGTATTTAACAAAATGGCTTAAGAACTAACTTATGTGACTAAGTGTAACAATCGTTTAAGGTAAACACCACATGCACGTACACACTCCTTTTTTTTATAGAAGAGGCGGCAAACTAGCATGCAGCTCACCTGACGGTAAGTGACTACCGCTACCCATGTACAACTGCAACACCAGGGGGATTGAAGGTGCGTTGCCGGCCTTATAGATAGGAGTAAACTCTATTCATGAAGGTCCCTAAGTCGTGTCGGTCCGGAAAATCACTGGTGATAATCGATTAATCAAAGCACTCCCCGTGGTAGAAGCGATAAAAAATGCAAAGAGATGCAACATCCCTTCGCAGCGCCAGTGAATCGTGCCGATCAGAAAGAACTCGGTCGTCGATGATTCGGAAAATGGAAGGAGCTGGCACTGGGGTGTCCCAACCTAGAGTTGAAAACAGTATTCCATGTGAAGCCGAACTAGCACCTTGTAAAGTTGCAAGCGGTGTGCCGGCATGAAATACTGTCCCGCTCTGC